CTCACATTTATTGAATTTTAATGCAATTATCCACTTTTTAATAATTTCCACAGATTTTATGTAAAAAAATACTAATTTTTATACAATTTTAATGCGAATATTAACTTTTTCACTAATTTTCCCCCATAAAATGTAAACAAACAATGCGTGCACAACAATTAGCAAAAACCCGTTTCTGCATCTTCTACGATATGCCGATAACTAGCCGATAACGACAAGTGTGCTCATCTCCTTTGAAATGCGTGTGCTCGGCTCAAAATTTCAGGGCGAGACGATAACGCAACTATGATTGGACGACAAGTGTGCAGATAGAGTTATTTATTATATTTTATATTACTGACGTGATAAAGTAACTAAAATATTTTATAATAATACTACGTTTCTAAATATATGTTTTTAAGATGTTTGCTATATAATTTCACACTGTTTTATTCATTGGGGGAAACTTTCCATTATGGCCGTTCGTTAAAGGTGGGGTGGGCGAAGGGGGAGTGGGCGTGGCACCTCCAACCGACCTTTTTGGGAGGGCATGAACCGCCATTGACAAAAATGCAACCCCCGACCTCCTAGGCCCCCTATGGTTCCTACGGGCCCCTTAGAAAAATGGCCAAAAATCGCAATTCTTATTTGCTTCCACAGTATCTTTGCGTAGAATTCCTTTCTGCGTAAGCGGCCTTCGGCCTGCTGATTATAACCCTTACTACGTAGAATTCTCCTTTCTGTGTGACCTAACGGGGCCACCGCCCCAGTGATGTAACCTTGGGAAAGGATGAGGTAACTAGAATTCCCTTTCTGCGTGGTAAGCCTGGGGCTGCCGCCCCAATGATGTCTATTTTGGTTACTGGGTGTTTTATAAAAATGTCTTGTATATAAAAATGTGTATATAAAAATGTATTGTGCAAATGAATATTTAACATTTTTCAAGCGAATAAACGCAAATGAAAATTGTGATTTTTNAATTTTTCTAAGGGGTCCCTAGGGATCCATAGGGGACCTAGGTGGTCGGGGGTTGCATTTTTGTCAATGGCGGTTCATTCCCTCTCCAAAAAGGTTGGTTAGAGGTGCCACGCCCACTTACCTTTCGCCCACCGCCCCTTTAACGAACGGCCATAAAGGAAAGCCAACCCATTCATTGTAACATTGAATGATTTTTTCAAGACGGCGGCCGCCCAGCGTTGAATTCTAAATAGTATCGGCGCAACCATCTCAATTTTTTGCCATTTCATTTGTTTACATTTATCAGCTGTTCATTTGGCAGCATATTCATCAAACCGTTTCTAATACTATGTCTCCATTGAGAGATTTATCCATTAAGATTTAATAAATCCAGTTGCTAAATCACAACCGTCTCCATTACCACAACGAGATATGTNAATATCGATGAACCCTTTGCCTTCCTAATAGGGTCGCCTCACAGCCATGATTCAACAAATACAGGTTGTAGCAATCGTACAAAAAAAACATTTACCGTTGGTATGAACTCCTTGTGTCATCAACATCTTTATCTATTCATATTCGTATGTATATGTATACCCTGCACACCAGGATTTCATAGAATTCTGTAAGGTTTCACAATTTTTTTTAAGAATTTTCTTTAAGAAATCCTACAGAAATTTCTTACTAGTTCCTGTCAACCGCTTCATATGTTTTTCTCTAAAGATTTCTAAAAGAATCGTAACAAAATTCCGACACTCTTAAAGATTTCGGGTATATATATACGTATATGTGTATGTATACGCGGATATGTAAACAAAGCAAAACAGACTATAATTGGACACAAGCGTGCTCATAAGAAGAAGCATAGCCTCTATCGCTATCACCTGTAATTGATGCGCCTGGGCTCACAGCTTTTGTTCAACTTTTGGTTCAACTAATCGCCTGTGAAAGTTGAATCATGTAAATTCCCTATAAGTGAAATATCGCTCATCACTAATCCAAACAAGTGAAATTTTTAAAAATAAAAATTTTGCCCAAATTATTTTGTGGCTTCTTTTATTCTATTAAATGGACTTGGAAAAAATGGTGAGAATTTTTGTAATATGTTATTGATGGTTTGTAATATTTTGGTTTTAAAGGCTCTCAAATCGTTAAGTGCTGAGTCTCCGACACCGCCAAAAATGTCCGTATGTGCAATGCTAACATTTCTACTTATTACTATTAGTGCTGCTGCTGTGTTAGAATTTTGTTATACTAATCACAGCTTTAATCTTGAAGTTAATACGGAACGGCCAGTTACAAATAATTCTGAAACTTCAATAAAATTTTCAATGTATCCTCCTGTTAAAGCAGGGGAAAACCATCTGCAACACGTAGTGCGATTGTTAGAAGTGTTAGGATATACACAAACTTCAATAAATGAACTTGACTGGAATCTACTTTGGGCTCATGAATATCCTTTTCAAAATATCTCAGAAATGATGCGACATCTTTTACCTCATCAAACTGTAAATCATATTCCCGGAATAGGTTTTCTTACGAGCAAAGTGGATCTTTCTACCGCGTCATTACCATTTATGCCTAAAGCCTTCCGTTTGCCACAAGAAAAAGAAGAATTTTTAAAATATACTTCTATCAATCCTGATACATTATTTGTGGAAAAGCACAATAAGCATAGATACATTAAAATTTGTTCTTCTAATTCTATAAATCTGAGTTCAAGTGAGACTTTTTTGCAAGAATTTATTGAAAATCCCTTTTTGGTCGATGGCCACAAATTCGACATTGGAGTGTATGCCGTGATAACATCCGTCGATCCCTTGTTATCATATATATATACTGGAGACGTGCTGTTCCGTTATTGTTCGGAAAAGTATTTCCCTTTCGATTCCAAAAATGTAAAGAAATATGTAGTAGGAAATGACTATGTACCAACTTGGGAAGTTCCTTCTCTAATAAAATACTTTGAAATATTTGGTGGGGGTATGAGAGCTTCTTTCGACGCGTATGTGCGTGATCAATCAATGGAACCGTCTGTCATTTGGACGCAAGTTGAAAACATAGTGCGAGAGACAATATTAGCTAAGAAAAATAATATTGTATTGGCTATGCGACCTTATAAAACTGGTAACTTCTTTGAGCTGCTTCGATTTGATTTAATTGTAGATGATGAACTGAAAGTTCATTTAATGGAGATTAATATGTCACCGAATTTATCATCAGCGCACTTCAAGCAAAATGCATTGTTATATGAGCAAGTTCTGTACAGCGTTTTCAACCTTGTTGGCGTTGGGTCTCCTCTACGGGCTAAACAAAGGTAATTATAGTCCTATTGTAATTGTGTTACTTCAATTAGAGTTTAAAGTACCTAATTTATTTATATATATTTATTTTTTTTTTAGCCGTTTAGATGATGAAATTATAACGTCTGACAAAAATATTGCGGTAAACTTAAGTGACTGTGCGAAATATTCATGTCATAAATCTTGTTATAAATCGGAGTGCAAGATGTGTTTACCTTGTCTGAAAGGGTCAGAAATTCAAATTTTACGAAAGGCGCATTTTGAGCATTTGCATAAAGTAGACATGAAAAGGATATATCCGAAAGCAGTGGTACGTAAACCATTTAAATATATGAAGATTTAGCCTTTAACCTCTAAGAAAATCGCAGCTTGATTTGCATTTATTTGTTTCGTCTCCTTATTTGGCGCTGTAGCCGCCTAAGCGATTTTTGTGCCAACTGACTCCAATTGGAAATACCAAGTGAAGCCAAGCCCTTCTCCAACTGGCATTTCCATCGCAGGGGGGGGGGCTCCCTCTTCCTCTTCTACCACTAGCGGGTTCCGAGTTGAATACTTTTAGAGCTAGAGCGTCGGTGACCATTTAAACGACATTGCCAACCCAGCGGAGCCGCTGTAACTTAATTCGCTGCGATTGTTGTTGTTGTTATAGCGGCTGCAACAACCCCTCCCAGATCGGTTTGTCCCTCAATCGTTGTCGTCAAGCTCTACTAACGGTAGCCCCAGGAAGCGTGCAGCCTCGACGGGGTTTGTCCATAGGGACAGGGGCGTTAGCGAGGTGGGATTTAGAGGACATACGAAGAGATGCTGTGAGTTACGGGGCGACTCTGCTGCAGTAAACAGAGCGCCGTTGGGCTATTCTGGTTGGGCGAAATCGTCTGCGGTACTCGCCGTCGCCAACGCGTACGGGCCCGTAAATACCAAGAGCCGCCTCATCGGATGTTGTTGTTGTAGCGGCTACAACAACCCCGCCCAGATCGGTTGATATCTCAGTCGTTGTCGTCAAGTCCCACTAACGGCAGCCCTACGAAGCGTGCAGCCTATATCGGGTCGGTCCACAAGGACAAAGCCGTTTGAGTTGTCAGGTTGTCCGGGCATGCGAAGAGATGTTTCGAGTCAGGTTGGGTCTTTCCGCATGCCGGACACCCATCTGGCACATCCTCATTCAATCTACTTAGGTAGGAGTTTAACCTGCTGCAGTAGCCAGAGCGAAGTTAAGCTATTGTTGTTCGTGTTTCCCGAGGCAGATGAAGCTCCGTCTCGTCTATGTCCGGTGGTGGTGTGCCTAGAACGGCATTCACAGGTCTAGAGTCTACATAACTCGAGACTGAGAATGCCGTTCAGGGCCAGTCAGTAAACTAACGGGTCCAGAGGTTGCTTGGCGAGGGCTCCTCTGCAAGCAGCTGTCTGCAGAAAAGGAGAGCAGGCTGATGAATTTTACTCCGAAAATTTTGGGATTATTCACCGTCGGAATTGGTGTGTCATCGACGTGAATTCCCAGCAGTAGCCTGACCTGCTTCGTCCAAGTTGTGAACAGGGTCGCAGAGGATTTCGTAGGGGAGAGGGCTAGACACTATGCAGTGAAGAAGCGAGAAAGTTCGGAGAGATGCCCGTTTACTTTCGAACACAGGTCATCAATTCCATTCCCAGTCGCCATGATTGAGCAACCGTCGGCGTAAGAGACAATCGAGACTCCCTCTGGTGGTTGAGGGAGCTTTGAAATGTAAAAGTTAAACAGTAGCGGGGAAAGGACACGACCCTGTGGAAACCCCTGTTTTATTTTTCTAAGTTTACTCGATTTGTCTCTAAACATTACCGACGAGTGTCGACCACGCAGATAATTTGCCGACCACCGTTTGAGCCTCTGTGGGAGACAGGAAGCCACTATATCTTCTAGTAGCGTGGAATGGCAGACGGTGTCAAACGCCTTTGACAATTCCAACGATACTAGAATCGTTCTCTCACAGGGACGGTTTCGGTTAAGGCCACGAGTTATCGGAGTGTTTATGGCGTTAAGTGCTGTTGTTGTATATGCTTCTGCGCCATAAGTAGCACTTGGCAGGAGGGATTCTGCGTTAGATTTCCATCCAGGATATCACCCTGACATAGGTGCGCTCCTCAGAGGTGACTTTAATGCGCACCACGATCTTTTGGCACTCAAGCCTGTTAAACGATTGTAGGGGACTGACTTGGCTGAGCAGATAGACAATTCGACATTCTGCACAATGTCTGACGACGCACCCACCACGATTATGGGCAGCTGCTGAAGCTCGCCAGACATAACAATAGTCAGCGCTGGTCTGATAAACAGCATATCATGGCGACCTATGCTGACTTTGGCATCAGACCATCTGCCCATAGTCATCTCGATGGATAAACCAATCGACTTTGCTTCCGCGGAGCACCGAACATATATCAACTTTTCTAAAGCTGATTGGAAAGGCTTCGCGGAATTTACTGAAAACACCTTCACTGCTCTCCCCACACCAACCGACGTCCACCATGGTGATAGTACGTTCCGCAGGGCTGTCACCGCTGCTGCAGCTCGCTTCATACCGCCAGGATGTATTACGGACCCACGCCCAAATTTCCCTGCTGAAGCGGCTGTTCTAGCCAATGAGCGTGATAGCCTTCGTCAGGTCGATCCCGGAGATCCCCGTATCAGGGATCTTAACGCGGAGATTCGGCAACTAGTAAACGTACATAAGCGGAAGAAGTGGGAAGAGCATCTGAAGAATTGCAACTTCACCTCTGGTGTGAGTAAGCTTTGGTCAACCGTGAGGTCACTGCCCTACGAAGCACGACGACAGAGTCGAAATTTCTTTCGGCCACCATTCTTCGTGGGACCCGGAGCGATGCGCGAGCTATTTTAGCCGGCAGTTCATACTGCATCCTCCGGTGGACAAAGCCAAGCGTCGATTGACCAGAAGGCTGTACAAACTGCCAACAACCTGTACCCCCCTTGCTTTCACTTGCGGTGAAGTTCAGGTGGCCACCGGGAACGCGAAAGCCTCCAAAGCCATAGGTCCCGACGGCATATGCATGCTGATGCTGAAAAATTTGGGTCCTGCGGGGGTAGCGTACCTAACGAAGGTCCTCAATTTGTCTATGGCCACTCTCATCATCCCAGACATCTGGAAGGTGGGGAGAGTGGTCCCACTGCTCAAACCGGGGAAACCTGCCAACATAGGAGATTCTTATCGGCCGATAACACTCCTTTCCCCGGTAGCGAAGACACTCGAGGCCTTGCTGCTCCCGTATTTCACAAACCACTTGACCCCAGCGAATCATCAGCATGGTTTCCGTAAAGTGCACAGTACAACAACAACACCTAACGCCATAAACACTCAGATAACTCGTGGCCTTAACCGAAACCGTCCCTGCGGGAGAACGATTCTAGTAGCGCTGGACTTGTCAAGGCATTTGACACCGTCTGCCATTCAACGCTACTAAAAGATATAGAGGCTTCCTCTCTCCCATAGAGGCTCAAACGGTGGTCGGCAAATTATCTGAGTGGTCGATGTTAACAGACAAATCGAGTAAACTTAGAAAAATAAAACAGGGGGTTCCACAGGGTGGTGTCCTTTCCCCGCTACTGTTTAACTTTTACATTTCAAAGCTCCCTCAACCACCAGAGGGAGTCTCGATTGTCTCTTATGCCGACGGTTGCTCGATCATGGCGACTGGAAATGGAATTGATGGCCTGTGTTCGAAAGTAATCGGGTATCTCTCCGAACTTTCTCGCTTCTTCACTGCAAAGTGTCTAGCTTTCTCCCCTACGAAATCCTCTGCGACCCTGTTCACAACCTGGACGAAGGAGGTCAGGCTACCGCTGGGAATTCACGTCGATGACACACCAATTCCGACGGTGAATAATCCCAAAATACTCGGAGTAACATTCGTCAGCCTGCTCTCCTCTGCGCACGCAACCGCTATTCTCAATAAAGTACAGAGCCGCAACAAGGTCCTCAAGTCGCTAGCCGTCAGTACTTGGGGCAAAGACAAAGAAACGTTGCTGGCAACATACAAGGCAATAGGCCGGCCGGTTTTGAACTACGCAGCGCCAGTGTGGTCGCCAGGGACTAGTAGGCCGCAGTGGACGAAGCTTCAGACTGTACAGAACACCGCATTCAGGACAGCGACAGGATGCCTCCTGATGTCGCCCGAACACCATCTCCACGGCGAGGCGCAAATGCTCCCCGTAAAGGAGCACAACATAATGCTCTGCAAGCAGTTCCTGATCGGGAGCCACAGAAGTGGCCACCCAAACAGACAGCTGCTTGCAGAGGAGCCCTCGCCTAGGCACGTCAGGAGGCATCTATATGAACTGACGGACGAAGTCCAGAGGTTCATCAAGCAACCTCTGGACCCGTCAGCTTACCGACTGGCCCTGAACGGCATTCACAGGGAGTCAGTCTCGAGTTATGTAGACTCTAGACCTGTGAATGCCGTTCTAGGCACACCACCACCGGACATAGACGAGACGGAGCTTCATCTGCTTCGGGAGACACTTACAACAATAGCCCAACTTCGCTCTGGCTACTGCAGCAGGTTAAACTCCTACCTAAGTAGATTGAATGAGGATGTACCAGATGGGTGTCCGGCATGCTGAGAGACCCCACCTGATTCGAAACATCGCTTCGCATGCCCGGAAACCCGACAACCCTAACGGATTTGTCCTTGTGGACCGACCCGATAGAGGCTGGACGCTTCCTAGGGCTGCCGTTAGTGGAACTTGACGACAACGACTGAGATATCAACCGATCTGGGCGGGGTTGTTGTAGCCGCTACAACAACAACAACAACCGAACTTTTTTAAGATCGGACCATAACCACGCCCACATCCCATATGACGGTAATTT